GCCTTGCTTTTTTATTTAATTAGTTATGATATTATATCCAAGTTAAGATCATATAATGAACAAAATGTAACTTTTTCATCCTAATGTACCACAAATCCCGCAGCGGAGCGCGGGTAAGAATACTAGTTATTATAATTATACAGGCGCATATTCCGTACAAGATTTCTCATAATTAGCCAAACCCCCCCTGAAACGAAGCCGCCATTAAAGCCAGATGAGCTGCTTCGCTTCCTCTTCATTACATCTCCTGCTACTACTATACTAGCAGAAGGAATAGTAATGGCTGCCTGGCTCAAAATCCCCTTACGGGACAAAAACACACAGGGAGACAGACCCAAACGAAAATAAAACAAGGAAAAATTGCTTCTTCTCTTTACCAAACTTAGAGCAGAAGCAGAGATAACCAGTAAACCACCCATTCCATATCCACGTATCTACACAAAAAAACTACTAACAAGGCGGCCGGCCAGTAAACCAAGCAGCGCCTGATACCCTGTACAATACACACAATCTCTTGCAAGCCGCAGTCACTCTATTTACTCTTCTTGTCCAGAAAGTTCCCATTGATTCTGATTCAGGTTCCTCCACCACCTGTCATCCATGGATGCCCTGCAACAGATTTGGGAAGAAAAATGTTAAAAGGATGTTCTAACCGTAAGCAGAGATGAAAGGGTTTGTTTTCCAGAGGGAATCCGTTGATTTTGTGTTTGGAATTGAAGGAAACGGGGGGAAATTCTGATGAACAGAGCAAAAAACAGTGTGTTGAATGAGTAAAGAACTTACTGAGCACTTGCTCGGCAGAGAACCTCCTGTAGACATCCTTACACAGCATCCTCCTCAAAAGATCCTTCGCCGCAGGTGAAACCGACCCGAAAACCCTAGTCGGAAACCTAAGATTCGCCCTCAACACGGCGTCAAAAATCTCCACCGCCGTCTCCCCATAAAACGGAGGAAACCCAGCGAGCATTATGTACAAAACCACTCCACAGCTCCAAACATCCACCTTCTCACCGTACTCCCACCCGGACAAAACCTCGGGAGCAACGTAGTACGGCGTACCCACAACTCCGGCCGCCGCCTCCGCCCCAGCCACCACCGCCGCCGACCCAAAATCGGCCAGCCGCACCGAATTCCACGAATCGAAGAGCACGTTGTCCGGCTTGACGTCCCTGTGAATCACCCCCTTCCTGTGGCAGTGGGAGACTGCCGTCATCAATTGGGCGAAAATAGATCTGGCATCGCGCTCGGGGAACGCGCCGCCGTTGGCGAGGATTAGGGCGTGGAGGTCTGAATTGGGGCAGAGGTCGGTGACGATGTGGAGGTGGGAGTCGTCCTCGTAGGTGGCGCGGAGCTGGACGAGGTGAGGGTGCGGGGAGACGAGCGCCAGGGCCTTGGGCTCGGTGAGAAGGCACTGGGCGTCGAGGGAGGCGCCGGCGGTGAGGGATTTGTCGATCGATTTGACGGCGAAGGAGTCGCCGGTGGAGCGGGAGACGCACTTGAAGACGGTGCCGAAGCGGCCCCGCCCGATCTCCTCGCAGTCGCAGATTTGGTAGTCTCTTTTCAAGGCTGCGCTCATTACTTTCACTCTCTACTCTCTACTCGCTGCAGCTTCCAATTTCTGCCGGCTTTCTGATCTGATCGCCTCGCTGTTATTTATAAAGAATAAGTATGGAGTTTCGGTTTCTTTATTTTTTATAATTCCAAAATAATGCTGGTGTGGAAGATTTTGATTAGTTGAATTAATAAAAACTGGAGAAAAAGGAAATGGGAAAGAGAATTTGTTTTACGCGATATTCCATTTCCGTACCTGCCTAACTGTTGGAAGGAAGGGTAATGAGAGTTTGACGCGTGTCGAATCTAACGGCTGTTCGAATTGCGAGGGACAGGTTACGGTGATTACTACAAAGTAGTTGTAGTAATCATCGTGGTTACTAAGGGTAAACTGGGTATGGAAAAATAAATTATATTAATTAATTTTTTAATAAATTATATTTAAGGTAGTTACAAAAATCTATTAATTAAAATTCTCTCTTTCTCTCACTTCCGTAATCTCCAGCCAGATTTCCTTTCCATATTTTTCTCAATCTTTCTGCAAAAAAAAAAAAAAAAAAAAAACGAAATGAGTACCAATCCATTAGACAAACACTACCACTTTGAAAAATATCAATACCATTGCAGAAATAAATCTATACCATTACACGAAAACTACCATTGCAGAAATAAATTTATACCATTACACGAAAACTACCATTCAAGAAATAAAAACACTACCATTTCACAAAACATCAATACCATTCAAGAAATAAAAACACTACCATTTCACAAAACATCAATACCATTGCAGATTTAATCACTACCAATGCGACAAAATCAATACCAATGTAACAAAATCAATACCAATGCGACAAAATCAATACCAATGCGACAAAAATAATACCAATGTGACAAAAACTATACCAATACGACAATAACACTACCACTACGAAAAAATGACTACCATTTAAAAAAAATGACTACCATTTAAAAAAATGACTACCATTTAAAAAAAAACATACCAGCTCTTCTCGATGGTGACCTCGCCGCCGCCTTCCTCTGCTGCCAGCTCCGCAATTGGGGGAATTAGCTCGGATTCCGACGTGCCATCGATGATCAGATCCCCGTCCCACCACTCCTCAAGCATGCCGTAGTCTTCGGGGGATTTGTGGTTATGGCGAGTGAATAGGACTGGGACCGAGGCGCGGCGGCAGAGTTGGATTCCTCCCGTCTCCCAGCTCATTCCCGGCGAAGATCAGGCGCTGCTGGTCAGGGGAAAGGCCAGGAATGTGCTCTTTGGCTTGAATGGCGGGCGGAGGTGGGGGGCGGATGGTGGGGGGAGAGAGTGGAAGAGAGGGGAGGGTGGGCGGAGGTGGGGGGGAGGGGAGTGGAAGAGAGGGGAGGGTGGGCGGAGGTGGGGGGAGGGGATGAGGGCGGGTGGAGGTGGGCGGCGGTGGGTGGAGGGGTGATGCCGTCGTCTAGGGTTGGTATGGAGGGATGGTAGATTAGGGTTTGAGTAGCATATATAGAATAATCAGGTGTGGACTCTTTTTTTATTCCAAAATTACCCTAAAACAAAATTAACCATGAGATTAAAAAAAGAGGAAAACAAGAAAAATGAACGACAGATAGTGATGTAGCCATGGTGGCTACTAAAATTTTAGTTGCCACCCTAACTCATCCCTGACTGGTGAGACGTACCGACTAGACTACTATGGGTGAGAGAAGATGCGCGTGATGGCAACGTGCTTTGACCTATAAAACCCTTCTAGAACGCTCCATTTTTTTTTTTTTATAATTAGAACGCTCCATTTTGATTATGTTGGCTACTAGATTCTTAGTTTAATTACATTTTCATTTGTATCTGAAGAGGGTGCTTAACATGATTGATCTTACTGAAAATCAACCAGGTTGGAACCTCTCAAGCTACATCAAATATAACATTTGATATATATATTATGCTTTTTAATCCGATAATGATAATAAAATTACTCTATTTAAAGTTTTGACAAAGTCGCATGTAAAAGAAATTTATGGAGCAAGGTCTAAAATATTGTGTAGCTACTACACATAAACATGAGTTATCATACCAGTTCCAAGTCTTTGGTAACATCCAATATATCTATTCGAGTGATGGAATAGCACCCCATCCCCATGTCCATGTGTAGTGTTGTGATGCAAAAGTTTGAGAAATATCTAAAAGAGTTCCCCTTGTCAGACTTTGAATTGACTAGGGTTAAAGTCAATAATGCTAAAGTTTATTTATCCAACAAATAAACTGAGGTGATTGAGGAGGTCCTTAAATGAGATAGAATTGACGATAGTATGAGGTTCTAAATATGAGACTGAGAGGTTGAGGAACCATATTCATGCTAGAATTCTGCCCTTGAATTCCATATTCATGTTCGAACTCTGTGTACAATCTGTATCAATTTTGAGGATCACATATCGTCGATGGGTCTTTTGCCATTGCTCGCGCATAATCTATTTGTTTGCAAATTCAAAGTAGATAAATCCACGTGACATGCCTACATATGATCTGAAAGATACACAACAATTTTCCATATATGAATTTAAAGAAAAAAGAGGAATGTGCTATATCTATGAGAAATGAAATGAGGAATATCCTAGCTGAAAACATCAAAATCTTGATTCCCAATACAGAATGTACGTAAAAGCTACTTTACTAGCGAGCTGCATTTTGTATCAAAACATGCTATTCACACTTGCATTTTTTATTCTTTTTAAGAGAAGAGGCACCAGGTGCCCAAATGCAAATCTCAAGATCCAGAGCAATCGATCAATATGGAATTGCTGTCCGATTCTGGTCCAATTCACCGCATGAGAGGCTTTGATTTGATAGCGTATAATAACTTTTGTGTTGGTTCCCAACTTCTCTTGTTTCTTTGCTAAGAAATGGTATGAGGCTTTGCTTCTCACGACTTATGGGGCAAGCAAAGGGTCAGAATCCTATTGAAAGGATCGCAGTTTGCTTACAGAACGAGGACGACAATATGCAGTTGGCTGCTCTTGTGGGTCGGCAGGCACGTAGCCTCTGCTCAAAAATGTGTGGCAGTGAACAAGCAAAGTAAATTATGTGGGGAAACGAGAGAGAAAGTATGGCCTACAAATATCTTTTTTGTTTTCAGCAAGCTGGGTGGATGCCATGGCGGCTTCAATGAGACGTGGTGGAAGGAAGGAACAAGGAATATTATTAGCCTTTCGTGGCGTCCAAAAGTCCATCTTGGTCTCTCTGCTGATCACCTCCTTTCTGCATTTGGAGGATGTTGAGAAAATGATGGATCAATGGAGTTGAAGTAGGAGAAGTCATTCGAGTCAAGAAGATTGCAATCAGTTTGGCCAAGTTAGGTTGGGTGGTTTAGAGCTGATAGTTGACAGTGACAGTAAAGGCTGCCATCGAGCCGAATGATTGCCCATCTTAGCCCAAACTCGTAACTGATTAATGACTCAGCTTTAACTTGCCTTATAGCTCGAGCTTGGCTAGTCTAAAGACTCGAGCTCAGTTCGATAACGACTTGAAAATGAGCAAAACGAGCCTAGCTCGCGAGGGAAGCTCATGATCCGCCATCATCGAACGAAGCTCCAACTACGTAAGTGGACTCTCTAGTAGGCTACACAACACAACACAACACGAATCATGGAGGCAGGCTTTAGCCGTCATTGCCTACTGACACATTACTTTAACTGGAACGCTAAATGTCGTCCACAGCCGAGACATACAACAGCTCAATTCCGCAACTAACTCCTTCCAGTCATTAACAGACAAAGCATCACAGCATCCACCATGGAAAAACCAGACATTGGATCACAGCGAAAGGGCACTCGTTTTTATTTGACTATGTAGTAACATCCTGATCGGCCTATAAACATGTTAAGAACGTGAAAAGAAAACACTTGTCAGGTTGCATGCATGCGTGGAACTCAGAAGTGCAACAGGGAATGGCTATAGAAACTGATGGAATCATCAATTTGTTCATCCAGAAATGGGCAGTTTAAGGTTCAGTTAACGATGCATCAATGGAAGACTGCCAGTAACCTCTCTTCGGAGACGGAGTCAGAGAAGAATGCTGCAGCGTCAAGTTCCCATGGCAACTGCAAGTTGGAAGACAGGGAAGTTAAATAGAGCAACTTCATAAGATATTCAGACTATTCAGAATCCACGGGTTTTTGAATGGGAAGACCAAAGTAGAGATACCAAAGGCAAAGTGTTTTGCAATCCACTTACCATCCTTGAATTCGGACGATTCACATTCCAGCGTTGTACTGTTTCCTTCTGACGACGAACAATACTGGGGAACCGAGAAGGAACATCTGCTGGTTGTCGCCTGCTTCTTAGCTGCTGATGATTCAGCAGTCGAGCACAGATCTCCATCTGGCCTTGAAGTCCCTGCACCATTACAATTCCGGAACTTATCTGGTCCAGGGGTTCCCTCCTCCATGCATTTGGCCCTCTTCTTCCCGTGTGGATCCTTCTGGTTCATGTTATAAAATGATGGAACCTTCTGATCATTGGAGGAGACAGTAACGCAAGGAGCATTGCCTTTCTCCCTCAAGACGACCTTTGGAATGCCATCCGCAATGCCTGTGTTGTCACCAACGACTTCATTTGTCCCATTTGAGCTCGAAGCTCTGGCAGCTGCTTCATCTTCCCACATCTTGAATATGGCTGATGTCAGAAGCTCCCGAGCCACGTCCAGATCAACTATAGGCATTGGATAGTTTAGTCCCAGTTCGACCCCAGCGGATTTGAGCACAATATCAGGTGCATCCCATGGGTGATGTATCCACTCAGTTGGCATCCTAGCTAATTCTGGCAGCCAATGTCTAACATATTCGCCTTCTGGGTCAAATTTGGAACCTTGTATCTGTTTCAAAGTAATACATACTGAGTTAGATTTATCTCTCTTCCAATCATGTATCTAGAAAAATCTACTTCACATTACATTGACATGGTTAGACTCTTCAGCATAGCACCTGAACTCAATTTGACGAAATTGATAGGCACAAGAAACTATTCCAGTTGTTTTTAACCAATTCAGTAATTCATTTGAAATAAATCCTACTATTTTGGAACTTATTTCGGTTTATGCTTAGAATGAGATGGAAATGAATTATCACAAATAATTTTCCGATATCACCCTTATGGTCTATTTATATACATAAACACATGAGAAAAGTGAGTTTCTTGTAAAGTTTGACAAGAACTAGAGAAACTAGTTTCATTTGGCACACCAATCCCACCAATTTTGATGGGATCTCAAATTCCTAAGGTTCGGTCTCTTAGAATTCCATTCCTCGCACTTTTTATCATTCCAAACAAGAGAATCTTTGAAGTTTGAGAAACGGAATTCTATTTCCTAAGTTTTTGTGCATTCCAAATAGGTTGTTGGGAATAACCTAGAATAGTAATCACAATTATCCACAGGCCTTGCGAAGAGACAGAACATGCAAACCATAATTTGAAAATGAAGATAATGTGAAATCTTAAGCTATGGGTTAGTACTAGTACCACCAGAGTCATCGCCTTAGCATTGGTTGATCACACAAATTCAAAGAGCCAAATAAGAAGTTGGTTCAAATAGTTATGCAGAAATCAGAGGGAACTTCCATACCTCAGGACTGTCTAACCGTTCGAGTTCATGGCCGTCTGGTAGGCTTCCTGATATATACTGCCAACCAAGGATGTCACATTCAAGATCTGCATCCAAAAGCGTGTCCCAGAAATACTTCATTCCCCATCTCCATGGCAAGAGCAGAACTTTGACAGAGAAGCTCGACACGATAACTCTTATTCTGTTATGCATCCAACCAGTTGCCCATAGCTCCCTCATCCCTGCATCAACGAGAGGGTAACCAGTCCTTCCTTGTCTCCAAGACTTGAAATGGGCTTGGTTGGCATTCCAAGGGAAGTACTTTAAGTGCCCCAGCAACGATCTCTCGTGGGTGAATGGGAAATTGAAACAAAGATAACGAGAATATTCCCTTAGCCCAATCGACCTAAGAAACCAGGTCACACTGTCTTTCCCTTTTGCGTTTTCTTCTTTCTCCCACGCTAGTTGCTTCATTTGAACGCATTGGAAAACCTTCCTAACGCTCAGCTCTCCAAAATGGAGATATGGGGACAAGAGAGAAGTTGAATCCACTCCAACCTTAAGTCTGTTCTCTGAATAGTTAATTAAATGTCGTTCGACAAATTCTGTTAGGGATTTAGCAGCATTACCCCAACCTGGAGACCATGCTCTTCCTAACAAAGAGTTGCTTGCTTTTTCCAACTCATCTTCCAGACCAAGTTCATCCACTGAACACTTTTCAACTGTACCTGCAATATAGCAAACAAAAATAAAATTGGGGGAATGAATAACAAAATCACTTTATCCAAAGTAAACACTGAACACAAATCTACCTGTAGCAAGCACCAGCTTCCATGGAGAAAGATGTGAGACAGGCTCCATCTGCAGATGCAAGCACTTCTCCCAATATGAATTAAACGTTGTGAAAGCATGTCCTTGTTCATCATATATATCCCAGGGTTCATATAACAAATCTCCATTATAGCTCTGCACGGAAATTCCAAGTTCCCCCAATTTCTCTTTGATACTGTGATCACGAACCAGAGATACCGGATCTACGCAGATAGATGGAGAAGTAATTGATTAACATGCATTATCAACTACAAGACATGGCAATATTAAGCAAATGAACCAGGAAATCAGAATTCAAAGGAGGGGAGAGCACACACCATAGAGATGGTTGAAGACCACTCTGGTTGCACCAATGGAATTGACACAGTCCCGAAGAGTATCGAAGGTGCTGTGAGCCTTGATCAGGATGAGTTCAGCACCAAGTGATTTGATAGAGTTTCCCAAGTGGATAAGAGACTGCTTCAGCCACCACCGGGAAACCCGGCCGGGATAGAACTGCCCTTCTTCTTCAGGACACCAAATATAAACAGGCAAGACCGGACCAGCCCTAGCAGCAGCCGCTAGTGCAGGATTATCCTCTATCCTAAGGTCTCTCCTAAACCAAACTACAGTTCTACTGCTACCCATTTTTCCCCCCCAAAACCCTCAATCTCAATCAAGATCAAAATTCAATCCCAGACCACCACCATAGCTTCAGCTACAACTTGAAAGAAGAATCTAGAGCATCACTGAAATGGGAAACCAAGTCTAAAGCAATCTAGCTGCAGCTTACAAAATCCAACGCTTTGCTATGAACAAACCCAAAAGCCGTTGAACTGATCCTCCAAACGCAAATTCAGCACCGAGCTGCTAGAAAACAGATCTGAGACTGGATAGTAATAATTGTACCAATAAGACAAACAACAATTGGGAATAAACAACGCTATCCAGACAGCCAGATCATGGTAAGAGTCTAACAAAACAACAACCAAAAAACAGCCATAAACCCAGATAATATCAAATAAAGGAATTTACCAGAATTCAGAGACAAGGAAAGTGATCCCACAGCCGAACCCATATCTTGGTTGAGGTTGATAGCAGCAGGGCGCGTTTCCGGGGACCAATTTAACGCTTAACCAGTTCGATTTCCACCTTCCCCGACCATAAAAACCGAAACTTTTGTGTTCTTCTTGCTTATATCTTTTCTAACAGCGTTAGTGTGACATTTGATTTGATCAACGACTTGGGGACGGAGGCTGGGATATGGTGGAGTCGTCACATGGGATGGGATATTCGTCGCATTTACTCGTCTTTTGCGATAATGGAGATTGGGATGGAGTGGAGGCATCACTTCACTTGTCCCCGTATCTATATATCTCTCTTTCTTCGTTGTGGTTCCACCAGTTAGGAAAGTAGGGTGTGCGTGAGATTGCAGGACGGTCGGTCTTTGGCGTTTACGTGAATGGGAAAAGGACAACGCGACTATGGGAGTAAGTTTCTGCATATTGCAGTTTAGTTGTTTTGAAACGTTGCCTTGTTGGGGGAAGAACATTCATATGAAAAGGCATTTTGGCTTCGGTTTTCGCCTTTAAAAACGGACGAGTACAGCTAGGGATGGCAATAGGTCGGATTGGGTTGGGGCGGGTTTTATCGAACCCAAATCCATGGGTTTATCCACCAAAAAAATTCGGGGTAAAACACGTTGGGTTTGAAAAACTCAAACCCAACCCGCTGGGTATTCGCGGGTTCATGGGTACCCGTGGGTTTTTCTAGTAAAAAATTTACAATAACAAATTTCTTTCAAAATAAAAGTTTAACATCAATTTTCTCATACAAATTATTCATACAAAAAACACCAATCTAGAACATACAAACAAACCGCAAATGATCAATACAAATTGTTCAAAATTAAAGATAAACATCTATAAACAACAAGATTAATTGAAATCTTCTTCCTCACCAAATAAGTTTCTTCACTCTCCACTCCATAATATCAACTTCATTCTAAACAATTAGAAAAAACAAATTATACATGTCTCCACAAACATAAATAAAATTAGTTGTTTAAAGAAGATATATTATTTAGAATATTAAATATACCAGGAAAGTAATTATATGCGTGGGCGGGTACCCATGGGGCGGGTTTACCTAAACCCAAACCCAACCCAATCCGGTGAATAGTGTAGCGGGTTTAAACCCGAACCCGGTCCAAAACCCTAAGTACAGCCAAACTTAGTTGAAGTTTTACTCTTTTTAGGCAAGGACATATTAGTGGGTTGGATTTGGATCACTAGCTTTTAACATTTTAGCATGATTGTTATTTTGGTAGCATGTCGGCGATACAACCTGATTCAATTAGTGGAAAAAATATCAAAATACACTAGTTATTAAAAAAAATTAAAATAGGTAAGTTATAAAAAAAATTCCAAAGTACACATGTTTGATATTCACCGCCGTTGTCTAACGCAGTGAATATAATCATCGTCGATGAGTAAAAGGGTGAAGCAATCACCGGTTTAAACAAAAACGATGAAGGCTTCACGTTTTAGTTAAAGTCGGGGAACTAATCACCGCGTTTGAGTAAAACAGGGAAATGTACCGTTTTCCTCGCAAGCGGTGAATAATTCACCGCGCTAGGTTACAACGGAGATTTTTTTCCACGTTTCCCACCCTTGGTAGGTGAAAATTAGGTTACAACCACCTAAACTTCACCGCCTTAGGGCAACGCGGTGATTAACTTCACCGCTTTTGACAAGGGCGGTGAATGCGCCATGTTTGTAAAATAAATACCCCCTCCCATGAGCCGTTGGAAAAATACTTGCTCCGATTTTGGTAAAACCTCTTCCCCATTTCTGTCAAATTTAAGCGAAAATCCCCTTCTCAGCCTGCTTACAGCAACTACGGTTACAGAAGCTCCAATTTTTTGGCATGATATAATTTTGTATTGTTTAGATTTTGATGTTTTAGTAGTTATGTGTATGTATGTAATGAATTCTTGTTTCTGGCAAATATGTTATGTTAGAGATAATTTTGTATAGTTTAGAAGCTTCCACCATACTCATATTATTGCAATGCTAGTTATGGTTCATGTTTCGATCAGTAAGTTGCGTTTGTTTATGAGTTTGAATAATATTATTTTTTGTAGTCTTAAAGTACGGTTTTGGTTAATTTTATTTGACTTAACCTAATAGTTACTTATTATAAATTGCAAATATGAGCGAATTCAAGAAGTTTCAGCTTATTATTCAGTGGAATGGTCGGGTGACAAACTCTAACATTAGGATTGAATATAAAGACGGTGAATCCACTATGTTGAAAATTGAGTCGAGATTCACGTGGCAAGAACTCTGTGACATTTGTGCATATAGGATTTGGATGGGTGGACAGGCGAGAGTTGGTAAAATTACTTATCGGTATCCAGACATGAGTCCCGGCGGGGTTATCAGTTATGTACCAAGAAGTTGTCATAAACAATGATGACGTGGTTACCATGATGTTATAGTTCCTAGGCGATAACGGGATGCGGCTTGCAGAGGTGTATGTTGAGACTGAGATGGTCGGTGAAACTCATCCTCACCAGTATTCTTATGATGATGGTTTTGTAGGAGGATACAGATGGAGTAGTAGTTCAAGCAACTACGGAGGAGGTAGTTATGCAGGAGGGTACAGATTGGGTGGTAGTTCAAGTAACTACGGAGGAGGTAGTGGTGCAGGAGGGGTGTCATGGAAAGAATACCCTGCAACGTGCTGAACCTGCCCCATTTGTTGAGGCCGGCGACGTTCAATGGCATGCTTAGGGCCAGAGAGGGCTCACATTGAGAACACCATTCGATCTTGGCACTTCGCATGAGCGAGAAGACGATGTTGGTGATGGTAGTCATGTTGATCCTCCTAGCCCGAGCTATCCATTCGACTCGAGCAATGAGGAAAGTGAGGAAGATTTTAGATCAGTGAGCGAGGAGGAAGATACTGACGATACCGACTACGTTGTTCAATGTGCTTTTAGCGAAGAAGCCATGCGGCGCAATTTCGAGTGGAAGGTAAACTATTCTGACGGTAAACAACTACATGTCATATGCAAGAATGTTGGAGAGGGTTGTATGTGGAAACTGCAAGCTGCAAATGTGAAGAGAAAGGGTGCATGGGTCATTCGAAAAGTTGAGAACAACCACAACGGTTCCTCGTCCATACTTTCTCAGGACAACCGCCAACTTAAAGCAAAGAAAGTGGGGAGAACCATTAAGCACTTGATCGAGGCACAACCAGATATCAAGGTCAAAGCTATCATGTCTGAGGTGAAGGATCAACATTCCTACACGATCATGTACAAAAAGGCATGGCATGGAAAGCAGAAGGCCATGGCTGAGGTGTATGGTGATTGGGACGACTCGTATGCTTTACTCCCTAGACTAATGACTGCAATGGAGGAGTCCAACCCTGGGACTGTTTTCGTGCCATGTTACAACAATGTACACACTGAAGATAAAGTTCGAGTACATAATGAGTTGATGTTTCACCGTCTATTTTGGGCATTCAAGCCATGCATTGACACATCATCGCGTTTGTTTAATGCAGGGAAGAACCCCCCCCCCCTTTTCGAACGCGGTGAATGAGAGGGATAGGGGTAATTAGCATAAATGGTAACAAACCTTTGCACTTAGTACAAAACGGTCACTAACCTTTAATTTGTAACAATACGGTAACAAAACTTTGAAATTGTATAAAATGGTCACCGCTATTTAATTTGTGATCGTTTTGTTTTAAGTGCAAAGGTTTGTTACCGAATCGTTACAAATTAAATGTTTGTCATGTTTTGAGGTCGGGTAATTTGTTCATTAAGTATATGAAACTAACCACTTGAACGACATATAAGATGTCAGGTCATGTGTTCATCGACATATTTGCTTTGCCAAATAAGAATGCCCTCGAGTTGAACTTTCAATTTCGATACCAAGAAAGTAGACAGAGTTTTTTCAACTAAAAAGCAGTCTGGAACCCGTTTGTGAGCCATTGCCTTTCATTGTCATCCTTTATGACGATCATATCATTCACATACATTAACAAAACCACCATACAACTAGAGCGAATTGTAACGGTGATTGAGCGTTCAAACTTTTGAACTTAATTTGTACAAAACGGTCACCAAAAGTCTAATTTGCAACAACACGGTAACAAAAGTTTGAACTAGTATGAAATGGTCACACTGTTTAATTTGTGACCGTTTTGTTCTAAGTAAAAAGTTTTGTTATCAAATGGTTACAAATTAAAAGTTTGTGACTGTTTTGTACTAAGTACAAAGGTTTGTGACTATTTATGCTAATTACCCAGAGGGATAGCTGACGTGGGAGGCTGTGAGGCGTCAGATCCGGGAGGAAAACCAGAATTCGCGGCTCACTGCATCCGACGACAGTGGTGAAAGAGTCGAGCGATCCGCGTCGTCCAACCCCTTCACTATAGCCGTTCGACGCGGTGATCCGTTCCCCGCGTTTTACAAAAACGGTGAAGGCGTCACCGTTGTTGCTTAACGCGGTGATATGTTCCCCGCCTTTAACTAAAACGGTGAAGCATTCACCGTTTTTGTTTAAAGCGGTGATTGCTTCATTGTTTTACTCTTCAGTGGTGATTATATTCACTGCGTTAGACAACGGCGGTGAATATCAAACATGTGTACTTTGAGAATTTTTTTATAACGTACGTATTTTGGGAATTTTTTTAACAGCTAGTGTATTTTGGAATTTTTTCCTCAATTAGTATAGGACTATAGGTTGGTGGAATGCCCTTAATATGACTGTCATAACTAATTTCCAACATATAAATAAATGACACCGTTTTGGTGAATTAAAAAATAATATTTTTAATTTGTTTCTTGAATTTGAAAGTTAAATGTTGATAATATGTGTTCGATTTAAGTATGAATATTTAGATGTTCACGTTATTTACTAAATTAAAGTATAAAATTTTGGATATTGGCGTTAAATGTTGTATTTAAATATGAGGATTTTACATTTTGTGTGGAATGTTGAATTTTATATAAATATGGATGTAGATTTTAGAGAGATGGTGTTCAAATATACAAAGGAATAATAAGTAGTTTCTTTATGGCCTCCTCATTTTGAGACATTATGGCTTTGGGGTCGACCACTATATGCCTAAAGTCGTTTAGTTTAGTGATTTTCCCTTCCATACATGTGTTGCTAAAACCGACATGAACTGACATAAATTGGTTATACCATTGTTTGGAGCATACTACTTGCCAAATCAACATGACGACATTAACTGTTTTGACAACCTTGCATTTTAGCCTTGTTATAAGAACCGAATCGGATGAACGGCCGAGCCAGTAGAACCGCCAACCCA